ATTCACCCAATAGTGTTGATTGGGTGTTTTCTGTATTCATCTTTTTTTTTTTTTGTAGTTTCCCAAACCAAATTTAAAATAGCTGCTTTTTAAAAGGAAAAAAAAGAGGGATTGGTATTTGTTGAGTAAGGTTCCATATTTAATAAGAGACCTTAAAAATTATTCAGTGGCCAGTGTATGTTATTGACATTGAGTGAACCATAGCTCAAGGCCGAGGGCATTTACATCAATAAATGCAGTTCCATAGTTCCTAGTGAAGCTTCAGCTAAGCTTCCTTATGCAGTTCTTACTTATTCAGGTAGTACTAGCACTGTTAATCCATGTGAACAACTCTACTGGCCTTAGTTTATAAATCCATTTAAGACTATTTTATGTGGGTATTCCCTGCAGTGTTTTACTCAGTTTGCTCCCTATTTACACTGGCATCAACTCCATCTTATTCATGCCCTTTGAAGTATAAGAAATAGTCCACACAAGAGAGCCTTCCAGGTCTGGGACTATCATAAAGGTTTGTAAAAGTTTAAAACAATGCATTTCAACAGAGAGATGATTGCATGTGTCATGCTGTAAGATTGCCTCAGTTCACAGATATTGTCCTTGGTATAGACCAGCTTCTGTCTTAGAGAACATTGGGGAAGTAGTTTCAAGCATACTGAATTTTTCATTCAAGAAAATCCACAACGCTCTTAACTCATTCTCTTAATGGTTGTGGAAGACATCCTTTATTCAGACGTAATAAGTGGGCAAAAAGCCTTCTAGGGGCAGGCATAATACACCAGGACTTTTTCCCTGAATGTACTGAAATGAATAAGAATTGCACAAGAGAAATGCTTTTGCACAACTCCTATTTATTTCAGAAAAACTTGTGCAGGTGGACTTCCTGGTAGATTGTAAATTTTTGGAGTGACTTTTGATTTCTCTGTCTTAATCGTGCCTGGGTGCTTTGAGGGATATTTTCTGTTGTCACCCATGGTTTACAGATTGGTACTATTCACCTTCACTGCAGATCAAATGATAGTTCAGACCGAGCTGTTCCTTTTAACTATGACAATGTGTTCCTCCATGCTAATGTTTACACTAAGCGGTATGGCACTCAGTCAGTCAGCCAGCGCCATGTTTTTCTAGCAGAGGAATCAAGCTCCCTCTCTTTGTTCTTGTGTTTTCTTTAACCATCAGTTTATGGAGACAGTTTGCCAGTCCTGCGGCCAACCTGCAGACCGGGAGGGTGTATACAGTGCATGTGCCACGTTTACTTACTAGGTGGGGAGGGAGGGGTTGTTCTTCTGTAGGTTGAAGATGCTATATTTTAAAATATATATATATA